TAAACTTAAATAGACTAAATCCCCCAATCAAAAGACACAGCCAAAACCCATCAGTATGCTGCATCCAGACCCATCTTACATACAAGGATACACAGACTCAAAACAAAGGGATGGAGAAAGATTTACCAACCAAATGGAGAGCAAAAACAAATAAACAAATAAAAAGCAGGAGTTGCAATTCTCACCTCTGATAAAATACACTTTAAAGCAACAAAGATCAAAATAGGCAAAGAGGGACATTACATAATGGTAAAAGGATCAATGCAACAAGAAGAGCTAATGATCCTAAATATATACGCACCCAATACAGGAACACCGAGATACATAAGACTTATAAAGAGACTTAGACTCCCACACAATAATAGTGGGACACTTCAACATCAATATTAGACAGATCAACGAGACAGAAAATTAACAAGGATATCCAGGACTTGAACTCAGATCTGGAACAAGTAAACTTAATAAACATTTATAGAACTCTCCACTTTAAATACACAGAACATACACTCTTATTAGCACCACATCACACCTATTTACAGGTTTAAATGAAATATTGGTTGGCTGCTTGTTTGTTATTTTCTTCCCTCATTTTTTCTTATCTCCATTATTAAGCACAATTATTGGTACAAAAGAGGTTTTCAATACCCATTTTTAGACTGCATTCTAGCCTGGGCAATAAAGCAACACTTAAGTTCTCTCTCCCTCTTCCGCTTCCTCTTTCTTCCCCTCCTTCATTCTCTTTTTTTTTTTTTAATTTATTTTTTATCTTTCTTTCTTTCTTTTTTTCTTTTAAAAAAGTTTGTAAATTATAAATGAAGAAATAAAACTGTCATTATGCACAAGAAAAGAAAAGAAACTAATAACATACAATGGAGCTACAATCCATCTGACAGCAGTGATTTTAGTGGAAACATTACAGGCCAGAAAGAGTGGAATGATATATTTAAAGTGCTAAAGGAAAAAAAAACATTTACCCTAGAATAGTGTATCCAGCAAAAATAACCTTCAAACATGAAGGAGAAATAAAGGCTTTCACAGACAAATAAAAGCTGAGGAATTTCATCAACATCATTCCTGTTCTACAAGAAATACTAAAGAAAGTTCTTTCATCTGAATGAAAAGGATGTTAATAAGCAATAAAAATTTATCTGAAGGTACAAGACCCACTGATAACTGTAAGTCAACCAAAAAACACAGACTATTATAACACCGTAATTGTGGTGTGTAAGCTATTCATATCTTAAGTAGAAAGATGGAAAGATGAACTGATCAAAAGTAATAATGACACAACTTTTGAAGGCATAGTACAACAAGATACAGTAGAAACAACAAAAAGTTAAAAATTGAGACAATGTTAAACTGTGGAATTTTTAATATTTTACTTTTTGTTTGTTGTGTTGTTTGTTTTTACAAGTAGTGTTAAGTTGTTATCAGCTTAAAATAATGTGTTATCATATACACCATGGAATATTATGCAGCCATCACAAACGATGAGTTTGTGTCCTTTGTAGGGACATGGATGAACCTGGAAACCATCATTCTCAGCAAACTGACACAGAGCAGAAAATCAAACACCACATGTTCTCACTCTTAGGTGGGCGTTGAACAATGAGAACACATGGACACAGGAAGGGGAGCATTACACACTGGGGTCTGTTGGGGGGAAAGAGGGGAGGGACAGTGGGGGGTGGGGAGTTGGGGAGAGATAGCATGGGGAGAAATGCCAGATATAGGTGAAGGGGAGGAAGGCAGCAAATCACACTGCCATGTGTGTACCTATGCAACAATCTTGCATGTTCTTCACATGTAACCCAAAACCTAAAATGCAATAAAAATAATAATAATAATAATGTTTTATAAGGTAGTATTTCAATCCTCATGGTAACCTCAAATAAAAAAAAATACAATGGATACACACATGAGCAAAGTAAGATATTAGTAATAAGCCAGCAGAGGAAATCACTTTCACTAAAATGAAGACAGGAAGGAAGGAAAGAAGGAGAAAAACACAGAAAAACAGAAAACAAATAACAACATGGCAGGAATAAGTTCTTATCAATAACACCGAATATAAATGGACAAAATAATTAGAAGACATAGGGTAGAAGAAAGGATTAAAAAACAACACTCAATGATCTGTTGCCTACAAGAAGCACATGTCGCCTATAAGAACACACATAAATTAAAAATAAAGGTTTGGAAAAATGATATTCCATTCAAATCAAAACCAAAAAGGAACAGGAGTAGCTATATTTATATCAGACAAAATAGATTTCTAGAGAAAAATTATAAGAGCAGACAAAGAAGGTCACTATGTAATGATAAAGGGAGCAACTCAGCAAGAGGACATAACAATTGTGTGTGTGTATATATATATATGTATATATATATATATATATATATGCACCTAACACTAGAGCACCAAGATATATAAAGCAAATGTTATTAGAGTTAAAGAGAGACAGCTCCCAATATAATAGTAGCTGGAGATTTTAACATCTCACTTTCAGCGTTGGACAGATCTTCCACACAGAAAGTCAACAAAGAAACATTGAATTCAATCTGCACTATAGAGCAAGTAGATCTAATAGATATTTATAGAGCATTTCATCCAAAGGCTGCAGAAAACACATTCTTCTCCTCAGCAAGTGGATTATTCTGTAGCATAGACAATATGTTTGGCCACAAAACTAGTGTTAAAACATTCAAGAAAATTGAAATAATATCAAGTATCTTCTCTGGCCACAATGGAAGAAAACAGATATAAATAACAAGAGAAATTTTGGAAACAATACAAACCCATGGAATTTAAACAATATGCACATAAATGATCAGAAGATCAATGAAGAGATTAAAAAGGAAATTAAAAATCTCTGGAAACAAATAATGGAAATATAACATACCAAAACCTATAGGATACAGGGAAAGCAATGCTCAGAGGGAAGTTTATAGCTATAAGTACCTACATCAATAAAGAAAAAATATTTCAAATTAACAACCTAATGATTCATGTTAAAAGACTGTAAAAGCAATTGCAAATTAATGGGATAAAAGAAATAATAAAGATCAGAGAAGAAACCAATAAAAGTGAAATGAAGAAAACAATACAAAAGAGCAATGGAAAAAAGTTCCTGTTTTGAAAAGATAAATAAAATTGACAAAGCTTTAACCAAACTAAGAAAAAAAAAAAGAAAGACCTAAATGAATAAAATGAGAAATAAAAAGGGAGACATTTTAACCAATACCACAGAAATACAAAGGATCATTTAAGGCCATTATGAAAAGGTATATGACAATAAGCTAGAAAACCTAAATGAAATGGATAAATCCCCAGACACACACAGCTTAACATGACTGAACCATGAATAAATCCATAACCTGAACAGACCAATAAGAACTAATTAGATCGAGCTGCAATAAAAAGTCTCCTGCTAAAGAAAAGCCCAGCACCGGATGGCTTTGCTGTTGAGTTCTACCAAATATTTAAAGATCTAATACAATCCTACTCTATTCCAAAAACAGAGAAGGGAATACTTCAAAACTCATTTTATGAGCCTAATATTACCCTGATACTAATAGCAGACAAAGAAATTTCAAAAACAAAAAAACTACAGGCCAATATCTCTGATGAATACTGATGCAAAAATTCTCAACAAAATACTAGCAAACCAAATGCAACAATACATTAGAAATATCACTTATCATGACCAAGTGGTATTTATTCCTGGGATCCAAGCATAGTTCAGCATAGGCAAATCAATCAATGTGATACATTATATCAACAGAATGAAGGACCTAAACAACATGATCACTTCAAATGATGTTAAAAAACCATTTGATAAAATTCAACATCCCTTTATGATAAAAACCCTCAAAAACCTGAATATCAGACCAATGTACCATAGCATAATAAATATCATATATGACAGTCTCATTGCTGGTATTATACTGAATGGGGAAAAACTAAAGCCTTGCCTCCAAGATCTGGAACATGACAAGAATGCTTACTGTCAGTACTGTTATTCAGCATAGTACCAGAAGTCCCAGTTAGAACAATCAGACAAGACAAATAAATAAAGGGCATTGAAATTGGAAAGGAAGAATTAAAATTATCATTTTTTGCAGGTGATATTATATTTCAAAAAACTTGAAGAGTCCACCAAAAAACTCTTAAGAACGGATAAATTCAATAAAGTTGCTGGATACAAAATCAACATAGAAAAATCAGTAGATTTTAGAAAAATTGTTTGCCTTTGGCTATATGTGAAAAGCAAACAATCTGACAAGGAAATCAAGAAGTAATCCCACTTACAATAGCTACAAATAAAATTAAATACCTAGAAAAAAACTTAACCAAGGAAGTGAAAGATCTCTACAATGGAAACTATGCACTGATGCAAGAAATTGAAAAGGACACACACATACACACGCACACACACACACACACACAGACACACACACAAAACGGAAAGGTATTCCATGTTCATGGATTGGAAGAATCAGTATTGTTAAAATGTACTACCCAAAGCAATCTACAGATTCAATGCAATCCCTATCAAAATACCAAAGACAATATACACAGAAATAAAAAGAAAGCCTAAAATTTATATGGAACCACCGAAGACTCAGAATAGCAAAAGCTATCCTAAGAAAAATTAACAAAACTGGAGTAATCACATTATTTGACTTCAAATTATACTTCAGCATGGTACTGACATAAAAACTAACACATGGACCAATGGAACAGAATAGAGAACCCAGAAACAAATCCATGCATCTACAATGAACTTATTTTTGACAAAGGTACCATAAACACACAATGGAGAAAGGACAGTCTCTTCAATAAATGTTGCCGGGAAAACTGTATATTCATATGCAGAAGAATAAAATTTGATCCCTATGTCTCACCATATGCAAAAATAAAAAAGATAAAAATGGATTAAAGACTTAAATCTATGACCTAAACCTATGAAACTACTAAAGGAAAACATTGGGGCTACCCTCCTTTTCTTGGCAGGGACCGGGCTTGTGGTCTCACTCCCCATAATGTACAGAGGAGTAATGTACAGCTTTGGTGGGATAGCCTGGGAGCTGAAAGAGGCTTCCCAGTGTGGAGAAAAGGTAAGTGAGAAATCCCCAGTAGTCCACATTCTCACCACAGACTCCTGTGATCACAGCCATGGGATAGCCCAATGACCCTTGTAGGCCCTGAGACTAGCATAGGGAGTTGCATGGAGATTGTCCAATGGCATTGTTCGCAAGAGAGAGCTCATATTTGGTCTCACAGTTGGTACCTAGTCCTAAGCAACTGCAGCAAAAAGCCATTTTGAGAGCCCAGTCCCCACCAAACTGCATCTGGCCCTGGGGTCCAGAGCCCCTACATCTCCACATCCCTGGAGTCCCACTGACATACTCCTGTGTCCACCCAGCAATGGCATGAAACTGATTGGACCAAGCAGAGTGGCAGGGTCCTCAGAATTTTAGAACTGTGGCCCCCAACCCCTGTGCTGTAGGTCTGTGGCCTGTTAGGAACTGGACCACACAGCAGGAGGCAAGCAGCAGGTGAGCAAGTGAAGCTTCATCGGTACAACCACTCCACATCCCTTGCATTATTGCCTGAACTCCACCTCCTCTCAGATCAGGGCTGAATTAGATTCTCATAGGAGCATGAACCCTGTTGTGAATTGCACATGTGAGAGATCTAGGCTGCATTCTTTTTATGAGAATATAATGCCTGATGAACTGTCACTGTCCCTCATCACCCCTAGATGGGACCATCTATTTGCAGGAAAACAAGCTCAGGGCTTCCACTGATTCTACACTATGGTGAGTTGTCTAACTATTTCATTATATATTACACTGTAAAAATAATAGAAATTGGACCCCTTCCTGACACCTTACACTAAAATTAACTCCAGATGAATTAAAGACTTAAATATAAGACCTAACATCAAAAAAGCCCTAGAAGAATACCTGGGTAAAATCATTCAGGACATAGGCATAGGAAAGGACTTAATGACTAAAACACCAAAAGCATTGGCAACAAAAGCCAAAATAGACAAATGGGACCTAATTAAACTCCAGCGCTTCTGTATAGCAAAGGAAACAATCATTAGAGTGAACTGGCAACCAACAAAATGGGAAAAAATGTTTGCAACCTACCCATCTGACAAAGGGCTAATATCCAGAATCTACAAAGAACTAAAACAGATTTACAAGAAAAAACAAACAAACCCATCCAAAAGTGGAAGACGGATATAAACAGACACTTTTCAAAAGAAGACATACATGAGGCCAACAAACATATGAAAAAATGCGGATCATCACTGATTATTAGAGAAATGCAAATCAAAACCACATTGAGATACCACCTCACACCAGTTAGAATGTCAATTATTAAAAAATCTGGAGACAACAGATGCTGGAGAGGATGTGGAGAAATAGGAACACTTTTACACTGTTGGTGGGAGTGTCAACTAGTTCAACCATTGTGGAAGACAGTGTGGCGATTCCTCAAGGATCTAGAAATAGAAATTCCATTTGACCCAGCAGCAATCCCATTACTGGGTATATATCCAAAGGATTATAAATCATTCTATTATAAAGACACATGCACGTGTATGTTCATTGCAGCACTGTTTACAATAGCAAAGAACTGGAACCAACCCAAATGCCCATCGATGATAGACTGGACAAGGAAAGTGTGGCACATATACACCATAGAATACTATGCAGCCATAGAAAATGATGCGATCATGTCCTTTGTAGGGACATGGATGAATCTGGAAACCATCATTCTCAGCAAACTGACACAAGAACAGAAAATCAAACACCACATGTTCTCACTTATAGGCAGGTGTTGAACAATGAGAACACATGGACACAGGGAAGGGAGCATCACACACAGTGTCTGTTGCAGGGGGCCAAGAGAGGGACAGTGGAGGAGGGTGGGAAGGTTGGGGAGGGATAACATGGGGAGAAATGCCAGATGTAGGTGACAGGAGGATGGAGGCAGCAAACCACATTGCCATATGTGTAACTATGCAACAATCCTGCATGATCTGCCCATGTACCCCAGAACCTAAAGTACAATAAAAAAAAATAATAGAAATAAAGTGCACAATAAATTTAATGCCCTTGATACAACTAAATCATCCCCAAATTATTCCCCCTCTCCCACTGTGGTCCATAGAAAAATTATCTTTCATGAAACCAGTCCCTGGTGCCAAAATGTTTGGGGACCATTGCTCTAGAACACACAGTGTCCTACATCCTGGGAAATGAGTGATGCGGTGCACCAGGAAGGCTGTACCCAGAACAAAAGTGCGTTCTCCCCAGGGCCTGAAACTGGCTTGCCTGGGGCCACTCTCACCGACAGCAACCCTGCTTCTGCCAGGAGCAGGTCTCCAGTGTACTTGCATGCACTCTAAGGATAAGATTTCTCTACTTATCACAATCATCACTGCCACTACCAGGGGCCAAACACATGTCACTGGCAGCAACCCAGTATCCTCAGCAGCAGAAACACTGCGCGTTTGCATGTGCTCTGATAAATGGCTCTCTCTGATGTTGCAGCTGCCCCAACCATGGCATATACCAGAAAAAGTGGCAGCACATGCTTCCTGGATCCTGAGAGCCACATGCCTATAGCTGCTGCCAATGAGAGCAACCCTGCATCCCCAGCAGCAGGACTACAGTGCACTTGCATACACCCTGAGGATAGGCTCTCCCCACTCACTGCTGCCCAGCTGCCACCAGTAAAACACTCCAGCAGAAGGATCCTGGCAATAACTCTGCCCTGCCCATCACAGACTGCAACTGTGTGCAACATGAGGATGGAGGGTGGTTGAAAAGAAGCCCATCTGACCTGGCACCACCTCGCTAGTGCCAGAGCATGCTGCCCGGGGGCCTGGGGATCACCTTGTTTACCATTTCTGGGATCTATGCACTTCTCCCAGGGTCCTGAGAAGATGGGCCTATGCAGCTTGCTGCTACAATCACAGCCAGCATCCACCCCTTTTGCCCCCTGGGGGCCTGATGATTGGCCTGCCCAGCCTGTCACAGCCACTGCTAACACAAAGGCATGCCATCTGGGAACCTGAGGGTTGTCCCGCCCACACCATGTATACTGCCCAGGGATCCAAGGACCTGCCTGTGTGCCTGGCTCACTACTGCTACTGCCTGCACCTGAGCAAGCTGTCCGGAGGCTCAAGAATCATCTGGCTTGGACCCATCCAATAACACTAGTGCTCACCTATGCTGTCCAACAGCTGAAGGACAGGCACACTCAGCCTGCTGCTGCCACCACTGGGACTGGAGAAATGGCCCATCTGGCATTCTGGTCTCCAGCAAAACCTCATCACAGCTTCCACCAATACCACACCTTAATCCACTAAAGAAATGAGAGACACTACTGATGGTGTATACAGCCAAAGAAGTCATAAAGAGACTACAGTCCTTCCCACATCCAGAATAAAAGCTCAAGTTCCCTATGCAACTAAAACCATAGATACATCTTCAGAAAAATGTCTTTTCTTATAAAAGCCAGCCACTGTTACACCAGATGTGCAGTTATCAACGTAAAGACACAAGAAGCCCAAAAATGCAAGGAAATATGACACTTCTGAAAGATTCTCCAGCAACAGATTCTAATGAAAATAAATTTATGAAATTCTAGAAAAAGAATTCAAAATAATGATATTAAAAGATCTCAGTGAAATCCAAAAGAACACAGATAAACAATACAAAGAAATCAGAAAAAACAATTCTGGACATGACTGAGAAATTTATCAAAGAGATCGATATAAAAAAGAACCAAAAAAATCCTCGAACTGAAGGATTTAATGAATGAAATTTTAAAAATTATATGAGGGCTTCAACAATAGGCTAGAGCAAGCAGAAAAAGAATTTCTGAACTTGAAGACATATTTACATATATTATTGTACATAATGAAAACACAAGTTCAGTTCCTCAGTTCAAAAAGTTTAAAAATTTTAATTTCAGAAAGCTGGCAAGATGGTTGAATAGGAGCAACTCCACTCTGCAGCTCCTGGCGAGATAGATGTAGATGGTAGGTGATTCCTGCATTTTCACCTGAGGTACCAGGTTCATCTCATTGGGACTGGCTGGACAGCGAGTGTAGCCCATGAAGGGCAAGCTGAAGCAGGGTGTGGCATTGCCTCACCTGGTAAGCACAAGGGGTTGGGGGATTTCCCTTTCCAGTTAAAGGAAGCCATGAGAGACTGTAATGGGAGAAACAGTGCATTCCAGCCCAGATAATACACTTTTCCCATGGTCTTTGCAACTGGCAAATAAGGAGATTCTCTCCAGTGCCTGTCTTAGTGGGTCCCACCCCCATGGAGCCCAACAAGCTAAGATCCACTGGCTTGAAATTCATGCTGCTAGCACAGCAGTCTGAGGTCGACCTGGTTCACTTGAACTTGGTGGGGGGAGGGACATCCACCATTGCTGAGGCTTGAGGAAACGGTTTCACCCTCACAGTGTAAACAAAGCCACCAAGAAGTTTGAAATGGGTGGAGCTCACTGCATCTCCCTGGGACAAAGCACTTAGGGAAACGGATGGCTGTGGGTGCAGCTTCACCAGACTTAAACATCCCTGCCTGACAGGGAGCAGCGGTTCTCCCAGCACAGTGTCCAAGTTCTGATAAGGGACAGACTGCCTCCTCAAGTAGGTCCCTGACTCCCTATGTATCCAGACTGGAAGACACCTCCCAGTTGGGTCTGACAGACACCTCATATAGGAGAGCTCTGGCAGGCATCTGACAGGTGACCCTCTGAGACAAATCTTCCAGAGGAAGTAACAGGCAGCAATCTTTGTTGTTCTGCAACCTCAGCTGGTAATACCCAGACAAACAGGATCTGGTGTGGACCTCCAGCAAACACCAGCAGACCTGCAGCAGAGGAACCTGACTGTTAGAAGAGAAACTAACAAACAGAAAGGAATAGTATCAACATCACCAACATCAAAGACCAAAGGTAGATAAATCCACGAAAATGGGGAGACCAGCACAAAAAGGCTAAAAATTCCGAAAACCAGAATGCCTCTTCTCCTCCAAATGATTGC